CATCCTGTATGTTAGTCAGAAACAAAAACGCTCTATTATATTTTTAAACATAATTTTGTTTTTTGTTTAAATTCTGCTGCATTAACAGAAACAGCAGTCTGAAAAGTTCACACTCACACAGTCAACCTGCTATATTAACGGGGGAAAGCCGCAAATCACACCGATAACTGTCATCCTCACAGCGACAGAGAGAAGAAAACACAGCTGTGAGCTGACAGTAATGTTTACCTCTAACCGGAGTCCACACGCTGAAAGCCGAGCACAGGATAAAAGTCCACAGCGAGGCAGAAAGTGGGCCGTACACAGACATCGCAGGTAGAGGACGGACTGAGTCAGTCAGGTCTGAGTTTCTGCCTCCTGCTCGCTGAAAGCGAGACTGGCTTTAAATTCCCGCCCCGCATCACTCGTCTGTGATTGGTTGAATACAGCAACAGCTAACTTGCTCCGCTGCTAACGGTGAACATATTTCTGTCCTTCACAGTGTGCGCGCGATTTAACAGGTGGTCAGGCTAACTGGTGATATTTGTTTGCACTCTTAATATATGAATGAATAAATAAATAAATCTTACAATTCATCTTGTCTATCAGTAAACTCACTGCGCTCATGACCGCAGATAAACATGTTTTTGATTCCAAACGTGAAACATCTGGAAACATCTGGAAACACCTGGAGCCTTGACCCGTTAACGTTCGTTATCAAACAACATGATCATCAGATCAGTTGTTCTTTGTTGTTAACAATAATTACTCATTGCTATAGAAAAGCTTGGACCACGGAAATGTTAGAAAAAAACCATGATCTATAACAAACAATAATATTTAACTGTAACTCGATGAAGGGGGAAAAAATAAAGTTTCTAAAGTCTTCAAAAATTCCCATAAATCCCCGCGGTTAACCCCGTGATTACATTTAGATTCAGCTGGCAGATAAAACAGGTGTTTGTCACAAGCTTCATAACTTTGATGACTCAGAACATTGATGCTGGCGAAGGAGAAGACAAAGCGAACAAAATAAAAATATAAAACTAAAATACTGCTGTGCCTCTTATGATACTGAAAGACAAAATACTGCTGTATTTACTTAAGTCATCTGTTTGTCTGCCATGATTGTTCTCTCAGCGCTCTGACCCCTCTGAAAATACTGTGTTGATTATATTTTATTTATTTATTTTATTATGATTTAATCTTTAATCTCACTGTCTTTGGATTCATTTTGAATCAGCTGAAAGTCCCTCTGAACGTCTCCGCTGATGTGTTGGCCCTTCTTCTGTGAAATGATTTAAATCATCTGAATATGCGACGTGTTTCACTGCGCTATGGTTAGCTAAAAAAAACTTTAACAGATCCTGATATGAAGTCAGATCTCAGCATGTC